AGGTCCCCACTGCGGCCCTGCCGTCACGGACTTCCCAGCAAAGCCCCTTTATCCAAGGCTATGCTCTCATGGCCACCGCCTGCTCACCTGAGCCCATTTCATCACTGCCCAGGTAGGAACTGTTGCTTCTCACACTGGTGTAGGACAGGACAGAGTCACGATTGCTGTTACATTCACTGCAACGGGACAAGAGACACCTGTGTCACCCTCATCCCAGCCCCTGGAACCTACCTTCTAGGGTGCAGACAAAACTCCTCGCCATGGACGGATGCCCAGCTAGAGGCAGCATAAGGTTAGGCCAGCTGGGCTGGTATCCCATGTCTGAGGTGAGCAAGCTCACTCAGGTCCAGCTCAGAAACACAGGTGGGACTCTTGTCACTCAGGTGTCTTAGCGTCACCCAGGTTTCTGAACACTTTGCTGCTCTCATGAGCCCTGGACACACCTGCCCACACCACACCTGACCAAAAAGAACTCAGCAGGACGAGGGAGCAAGAAGCCACCCTGCCGACACTGATCCCACAAGAAAAGAGGTGTGTGTGGGGGGGGGGGGGGGGGGGGATCTGGGACAGTGCCCCGAGGACACAGAATGCCAAAGCAGTCAGGACATCCTGCTGCAGAGACACGGTGAAAGGTGGCCATGGGGACCAGGTAGACCTTATGAGCACAGGAAGGGGACTGACACCAGGCAAGCTGGCTTCCCCTAATCCAGGGCCTTCAGACTTTGTCCACATACTGAAGGCTGAGACAGACTCTGACCCCGAGTCAGACACCATGTCATTTCCCACTGGGCTCCCCTCTCTGTAGTAATGAGGGTCACCTGTCGCATCCCAGCAAGTTCTGGTTTTTCTCTGGTCAATAATTAATACCCTGCTGGTATTTTCAGAATAAATTTAACAATTGCAGAATTGCAATTTCCTATTCCGTCCTCATAGGCAGAAAAATCAAGAAAATGTCTGACTCCTTGGGTCTACAGAGGCCCCCCACATCACAGAACCCTGGCTCTCCTACACCTGTGAACATATGGAGTACCCAGAATGAACGGTGTCCACATAACAGGCTCGGAGACTTCAGCTCAGGGCAAGGGAGCCAAGGAGGCATTCTGGAACATTCTCCGAGAGGCTCAGATTCTCCTGACCCACCAACACACACTGCTACCCCAGAGACTGATCCCCTGTATCTTGAGAAACATCACAGTCTTGACTTTCCAACAGGCCTCGATTGTCCAAGGGCCTCCTTCAGGTCACACGCACCTGTAGGAGTCACGGTAGCTCATGGTGTCGTGGCCCGAGTCTTCCTGCTCGTCCTCTGAGACCTTGAAGCACACCTTCTTGATGCCTCCATGGTCAGTCCTGTCCACTTCACTCTCCTCGCTGACCAGCGGGGAAGATGAGGTCTCCTCCGCCGAGGGTGGGTCACAGAGTACAGCCGAGGTCGGCTCTGTGATGGTAGACAGTAGCCTGCCAGGACAAGGCAAAGGCACTGAAGGTGAGGATATAGGCCAGCGGCACTGCCACACCGGGGATCAGCTTCACCTTGTCTCTGACTCCATGGAGGGGTGATGGAGACCCAGCAGCAGCTCTCCCTCCCTTGAAGTCCTACCAGCAACTTCATGGGTGGTCAGAGCTGCCTCCTGCTGGACCTGACTATAAATACCTCACATAGGCTGGGAAGCTCACACCTATAGTCCCTAGCACTCTGGAGACTGGAATATATATATATATATATATATATGTGTGTGTGTGTCAAGAGTTCAAGGTCAGTCTCAGCTACATAGCAAGCTCTATGTCAGTCTCAGCTCCATGAGACTTTGTCTCAAAAGAAAAAAGGAAAAGTAAACAAGAAACCCAGGGTCTGCAGGTCAAAGAACCTGGGTTACAGCCAACAACTCCACATCTGCAGCAGGTCAGAACACCCTGGTTACAGTCACCAACTCCGTCGCTGCAGCAGAACAGAGCACCACAGTATGGACACCAACTCTGCCACCGCAGCAGCACACCACTGGCAGGTATGTTCACCGTAAAACTTCATTTAAAAAGCAGAGTGTGTGGTGGACAGATTCTGGCCTCTGGTAGGCAGCCACAGTGAATATCAGCTAACAGTATGGACTCTGCAGCTAGATGGCCCTGCTGGCCCTCTCACACAGGCATTTCCTAGGCTCTGTTTCCTTCTCCAGAAAACAGGGTGACAGCAGGACCCACAGAGCAGGCTGCTGATAGTGTTGAAGCATATAAAGACACTGGGCATCACCTAGTACCCGTAAGTGATGGTAAATCAGTAAGAATTTTACATAATGTGCCCACCAGGGGCTATTGGGCAGTGTGTGGAGACAGTCTGGGCTGTCAACTGGAGGAGGATATCATGACCCTGAGTGAGCAGTAGCCAGATACCCTACATGCCCAGAGACCCCACAATGCAGACCAAGGAAGGAAGGAGCTTGCCCCTTTTTTCTTTTCTTTTTATATTTATTTACTTATTTGCTTGTTTAGTTTTTGCCTGAGGGTACGTCTATAAGGTTGTCAGACCCCTGGAACTGGAGTTACAAACAGCTGTGAGCTGCCATGTGGGTGCTGGGAATTGAACTTGGGTTCTTTAGGAAGAGCAGCCAGTACTCCTAACTGCTGAGCCGTCTCTCTAGCCCCGGTTGGAGGTTTTCTTACCTTTCTTAAACTTGACTGCACAGCTTTCGCTGCATCACACAAAATTAATTCCTCTCAGCATTACCTGGCACCTGGTCTCATACAAATGGCCCTGGCTGGGTCCACACGCTCCCTCCAGGTAGTGTACAGGAAGCAGGTCCCTACACCGGCCCAGACACTGTTCCTGGCTAATGCATTCCTCGGGTCTCCTGATATAAAATGGCACATGCTCCTCCTCCTGCCCCTCTTCCTCCACCTCCTCTCTCTATCCCTCCTCCATCCCCTCTTCTACCTCCTCCTTCTGCCCTTCCTCCTGCTGCTGCTCCTTCTCCACCTCCTCCTTTCCCTAATCTACCACCACGTCCTCCTCTTGTCCTTCCTTCTCCTCTTCCTCTTCTTTCCTGCATCAACAGCCTGGACACTTATTTGTTACGTGCTACACAGAACTGCCTGCTCCTGGCTTTAGCAGAAGCAACCTTGGGTACTGTTTAACCAACCTCTGTCCACCTCCTGAGTAGTGAGCGTGGAGCTATCACTGCCCAGAGCTGGCAGCGGTTTTGTGCACCACAGTATCCTACAGTAACAGACACCTTGTCAATGGCCTGATTTGCTGCAATGTTAAATCAGAGACTCTCATAGACAGGCACTTTAGCCTCAGGAGGACACTGCCTATGCCCCTCACTTCCCTAGAGAAGGCTCTCCTTGCAAAGAAGGGATTTGGTTGTCACAGATGCTCAAGGCAGCAGGTGGGTAGAGCCAGGCATGCTGCACCTGAGGTGCTCAGAGTGGCTGCTACGAACAAAAATGCCTGCAGAGAGGGTTGGGTTGAGAAGCCCCAACTGCCCCGGGGCCAGGCCTCACCTATTGATCTGGGTGACATACTGCTTCATCTCCTTGAGAGCCACGTCCAGCTTGGTGAACAGCTGCAGGTACGCATCCTGGATCTCGCGGTCTTCCTGTTTGAGCAGAAAGCTCAGGCCCCGGTCTTGCTGGTTGGAACCACTACTGGCTGACCCGAAGCTGCTGTCATCGAGACCCTGGCCTTGGGAGTCCCCATCTACTGCAGATGTGCATTTCCAGGCGGGGGCAGCCATGGTGGTAATACAGTGCTGTGTGTAGGCCATGGGGTTCAGGTGGCCTGCAGTGAAGGTGGGGGAGCTTACTGAGAAACAGGTCCCAGCTCACACAGAGGGAACCCTGCCTGAACCTCTCTGCACAGAGGAATACAAAGAGCAACTATGGCCTGTCTGACACTTTTAGAACACTAGGTCACCCTGAGAAAAAGAGTTGCCATTTGTTGATAATACACTCTAACTACTGAGATCTTCTCTCCCACCTAGAGTGCAGACGTGATGGTCGGTACTCTGACAGCCATATTCTACCATGACAGGCATCGTGAAGACAAAAGACTCAAACAAAAGATGGCACACAGAAATAGAGGAGCCTGGGTCCCTGGTGACTGTGGAGTCACTGACACCATCCTGGACAGTGGCCTCTGGACCTTCTTCTGTTTCCTCATCTGTAAGGTGAGATCTAATACAATATCTAAGAGACGCACGCAAGTACCTTGTTCTGGGTCAAGGCCGATGAGGGAGGGTTTGCGTCCGAAGCGGATGCTGAAGGACCTGCCCACCGAAGGGGTGGTCTTAGGGTAGGACACTTCCATGAGGTTGACGTGACAGTTGGTGGGGCAGAAGTCCAGGCCACACAGCGGGTGGGGCTCCAGGGGTGCCTGCTTGAAGGGGGGGCTGACCCTGCTCTTCAGCTGGACTGCAAACTGAGAGGTGGGGACAAGGGAGTGTGAGGTGGCGTCAGGGGGTCCTTGAATACCCCTGGAGCCACTTTATCCTGGCCTCTAGACCCGACATTCCCGCTTGGAGAAAACAGGAGCGCCGTGGACGAAGGAGGTCCCCCGAGTGTCTCTCACAGGGATAGCCTCGCAGGACCTGTGACTCTGAGCACTGACGGGTTTTCTTCTCTAGTTCAGCTGCTGTAATGTCTTAGGAACCATGTCTCTGACCCTCAGTTATGAGGTTCAGGCACGGTCACCTCCTCATGCTACAATGCTGGGGCCAGGGAAAGGCAAGAGACACACGTAGAGTCAGGAGCACCCTGAGAGGTCGTTTGGTCAGGGGATGCTGCAGCTAGAGCCACGGGCCATCTGATCACCAGGAATGAAGGCCCAGCCTCAGAGTGAAGCCGATGTGGGCAAACAGATTCCCACAGGAACTGCTCAGGCACCCGGATATGACCATGCCTGAAGGTTCATCTACAGTCTGTCCACGACTGAGCCCATGAAGCTTAGTCTCACTAGGGTGAACATGGCAGAAAAGCTGGAGGCGGAGTGTGGGCAGCAAGTACCTCCTGGTAGCAGTTGATCCTCTGGCTGATGCTGCCCAGCTTGGTGTCACAGATGTTGTGGAACTCGTAGTGGGACATGGTGATAATGGCGCTACTCATGGCCATGAGCCGCCCACAGTTCTGCACGAAGACACTGTCGTCGGCAGCAAAGGCCTCAAGGATCTGTGGGAGGGAGGACAGCTTCTGAGCATGCCTGTGTACCATGGGGGCAGAGTGTCCTTACCTGTGGGGACCCTTTCTGCACCATGACACCATAGGAGTCTGGGGCTGTGACACACCCATTTTGGAGAAAGGAAAAGTGAGGCTAAAAGGACAGTAACCATCTTCTCCAGTTCCGCAGCTGGTGAGCACTGGGGAACTAACTAGATGCCAGGGCTGCAGGGCAAAGGGATCAGCTACCCTGACCTGGGGCTGGAACACAGCCAGTCGGGGCCTGAGGGGGCATGGAGCAGGGTGGAGTGGGATGGCTGGGGTAGGACTCAGGAACAAGGTGAGACCTTGGCGGCCAGGCGGAAGCAGCCGCGGGGCTCCACGATCTTCTCCAGCACGTGGCATTTGGCTCCGGCTGTGCTCACATACTCGTAGACCACACCGTGCTCCAAGTGCACATTGTCCACCGTCAGGCTGACCACGGCGCTGTCCTCACGCAGGCTCAGCTGGGGACCCAGGGACAGCAGGGGCAGGGCTGGAAGCCAGAGGGGCAAACTACATTGAGACTAGCACTGCGCCCCGGGAGCGAAACTGCCACCCTGAGCAGGCTGTGGTGGGGACACACCAACAAGCACACGGTAGCTTCACCCGCTCGCTGGTCCACTAACCCACCCACCCTCCCAAGCGCTGACCCAAGTGCCACATTCCCAGTGGAGACTGACCCCACCTGCCCACTTTGGTTCCACAGACAACAGGGAACTGCCATCTGGATCCCCACTGTATCCATAGAAAGGAGGAGACATTCTCTATCTCAAGTGGACTCCAAGTTGCCAGGGCCACCATGTAAAAAGCCATCTGAGCGGCTGAGAGGTGAGAAGTGATGAATTGAGCCAGTGCTGAAGCTTGCTGACTTGGCTCAGCCCACACCTTCCTGTGATCCAGCTCCAGGAAGGACTTATGTGTTTAGGGCACAGGGGGTGACCTCTGAGGAGGTGATATCTGAGCAGACATCGGAGTGAAGGGAGGGCAGTGGCCCAGGCATTGCACACAAGTGTGAAGCTGGGGCAGAAGTATATTCAGCTAGATGCAGAACAGAGGGTAAGAAAGAAGGAGAAGGGAGGCGACACCAGGAACCAGGCTGGCACGTGCGCATGTGTACACACACACACGTACACACACACACAAACACACACACACACACACACACACACACACACACACACCAGGCTTTGGGAGCTGCGGTCAGGATTTCATCTTGCCCCTGAGCAGGGAGAAGGCCACCAGAAGGCTCTGTTCTCACTTTGTGAGGACACTGTGTGTGTGACACGTGGCGGAGGTCGACCAGGGGAGGACAGTGTGCAAGCCGCTGCAATAATCCCGGTAAAAACCAGACCGAACCAGTCCCAGCGCAGGCAGTGGGAACTGGTCAGACCCTGGGTGTGGAAGGAAAGAAGGGCAGAGAGCGTGGACAGAGTGCCACAGGAACCAGGGAGGGAGAACAAAAAGAGGCTCAAGAATCCAAAAGGATAAAGATGGACCAGGCACAGGTTTGGGGGAAGTCGGTGTCAATCTGGCCTCAGTAAGTTTGTGGTGCCTGTCAACAGCCAGCAGAGGAAGTGAACTGACTACTGAGGACCAAAAGGCACTCTAGAGGAGACACGGCAGGTCAAGACAGGACAGTGGCCCACAGAAGACACACACTTCTGGTCCCATAACCCATGGATCTGCCATACTGTCAGCGAGTGGGCTGTTAAGCAAGCAACCAACGAGTCAGTGAGGAGTAAACAGGAAGAGTGTCGTAAGGGTCCTTCGTGAGCAGATGGAGAGAGATACGGAAAAAGAGAGTTGGCAGGACTTGGGCCAACTGTGCTGGGCCATCAGCCAGCAGGAGAATCAGGAGCTGAGGCAGGTGAGAAGTTTCTAGAAGCTAAAACAGACAAGTCAGTGAACTCCCAAGAGTCCCAGACAGAAACAGGACCCGGAGAGACTCTTCTGGGCCGCGAGACTTCAGAGTGAGCGACTAAAGATGGGGGCCCACACTGAGTTGTCACAGAGCCAAGGGGACTGGCACAGGCTGCACTTCTGAGGACCAAATGGGATGGACCTGGGGACACAGAGGATCAGCCATTATGGTAGCCCCAGACTGAAGCTCCTCCCACTCCCAGTCCCTTACCTGAGTCAGGCTGGTCCTCTTCCTGGGTGTCTTCATCACCCTGACTGGCCCGCGCCTGCTGAGCATCCTCATGGCTATGGTAGACCCACTGGTACAGACCCTGCAAAGAGCCACTATCAGTGGGCCAGGCCCCTGTGCTCAGAGGGGGAGAAGGGACAGGCCAAGACGGGTCTGATTCCCATCCATGAGGCCACCTCTGAAGAGACCTCTAAAATGTTACTCTGGAACACTGGCCACACTCAGTCCTCAGTTTGGAATATGGGCTCCATATAGGAGCTCAGGAGTACGGCTTTGAAAACACTAGGGGCACAGCCAAAGTGTCCCCATCTCTCCTGCATCCCCAAGGCCAAGAAGCACAACTGGCACATGACAGGCACTCAGTAAACACTTGCTGAGAGTGAGTGTGGACATCAGAGCGACTGTCAACATCCACCAAAACCCCGGCCCCATTCACACAAGAGCGGTTTCTACAGTCAGTGTGGCTCGTGGCACACAGCACATGTTCCACTCTACAGTTACAGTGCCCCGTTTGTAAAGGGCCCTTCCTACTCAGCTCAGCAAGGAAAACCTAGGCTGTCAGGGCTCATGTCCCAGCCCAGAGTTCCCCAGGCTCCCATCTCTTGCTGAGTGCTCACCAGGGCCTCCTCCCGGCGGTTGCGAAAAGCTTGGAAGTGCTCCAGGACCTCGAGGGCGCCATCATTGGCCACGTTGTTGCCACTGACCTTCAGGATACACTGGCCTGCACAGAGCCCAGCAGCCACAGCCTCGGAGCCTGGGGAACAGGGGCACTTAAGGCCAGAGTCAGGCAGAGGAGCCATGTTCAGGCTGCCCCTGCCAACAGCTGCATCTAGAAGCTGTGGCTTCTCCCACCTGCCAACCAGAGAGCTGCCACTGACACCCGCAATAGGCAGGGCAGAGCTGGTGTCCCCATTTAGTGACAACTGTCTTTCAGAACCCTGCATGACCTCATAGCGAAAGACCAAAGCCAAGTGACAGAAAGAGACACCAAAGTTACCTTAGGGCACCTTAGAAAAGCTAGGCCACAATACAGCTGCCTGACTCAAGCCCATCCCTCTCAACTCTACCACAAAGCCCAAACAGTGGCTCTTGACCCAGGCTTTTGTGGGTTAACTGACAAGTCTAGAAACAGATAGAAATGGTTGGCTGCCTCCACTTAGGAGAAGTGCAGGCCTGGAGGACCTTGGTCAGTGCAGGCCGCAGTCTCGGGCTCCCAACTGCGCCGCTGCCCTGCAGCCTACAACGCGCTACCTCACTTATCTGGGCCTCAGTGACCTCATCTGTGGCATTCATACACAGCACATCTTGTTACAGGACTCTGAGAGACTCAGAAAGTCTGGGAATGGGAAACTGCTGGTACTCACTACATGCCAGCCCTTTCTTAGTTCCAGCCAAGGTCTAACACACTGACGGCTGGACCCCGGCTGATGCTGCTGGGAGGCTACGGAAGGTTGAAGAAACGGGAGAGGGAGGTCACTGGTGGCACGCCTTTGACGGGGACTGGGAGTCCCTGCCCTCTTAAGTCGTCACTCTGGTTGTGTGTGAAGGGCTTCACTCTGCCAGACCCGTCTGCTGTGAGACTCTCTCCAAAGGCCAGAGCAATGGTGCCCATCAACTCCAACCCTGAGCCACACTGAACCTTTCCTCTAAATCTACCAACTCAGGCACTTTCCTTCAGCTGAGAACCACCAAGTGACACAGCCACACACACTGTGAACTACAGACGCCTCAACAGCTACTCGGGCAGAACCCCCCTTAACTATCTCTCTGACACCTGATGTGGGACCCCTGGTGTTCTGTGAGGCTGCCCTGGAACCTACAGGATGCCAGCAACATCCACATCTGTCCACTAGATGCTATAACACACCTTCCCTCATGGTGACAACCAAAAACTGCCTACAGACAAGGCCAGGGACCTCCTGGAGAGGGAACAAACTGGCACGGTAAGAAATGACCTTTTAAAGACACAGGTGATACAGCCCACTGTAAAATACTGTCAGATCCTAGCTGCCTTCACTGCTGTGTGTTCTGTTAATTGGCAGATACACAGCAGCCCCAGGGCCTGGAGAGATGGGTCAGTGGTTAAGAACACTGGCTGCTTCTCCAGAGGGCCAGAGTTCAACTCCTAGCACCTACAAAGTGGGTCACAATTGTCTCTAGCTCCAGTTTCAGGAGATGCAACACCCTCTTTCTGACCTCCACAGACACTGCGCACATGTATATACGCAAGCAAAAATACTAACAGATAAAATAATAAAACTAAAAAATAATCAATGCAAGTAGAACCCTAAGCAGAAAGGAGAAAATACAAATGTTAAAGGGAGTCACTGGGAGACTATCAGGAAACCAGCATCAGATATCTCCTGGGCCTCACAGACAACAGAACAGCACCTTCAACAGTCCCCAAAGAAAACCAGCACAGGTCATGGGGGCTTCAGATTGGTCCCCCATGGGTTCAATGTGGGCACAGAAGTGATTTTGTGGAGCCTCCAAATTCAGAGTTCTGATACCTTTTGAATTCTGTGCCTGCCTGCCTGTCTGGGGGACTTCCAGCCCATCTAGATGGCATGCCTCCCTTCCCCCATCGCAGCCCCAGCACTTCCCATGTCTTCAAGTTGCTCCTTCTCCCCTCCTGTGCAGGTCCCTGCTAAAGCAGTAGATGCTGGAGTACAGGAGCACCAGGCCCATGTCTCCCCATGCGCAGAATGCAGCCCCAAGAGGTTCCGCATACCAGGCTCCAGCTCACCTCTGCCCACAGCAAAGACATATGGCGGGGCTGCTCCTCGGATCTGGAAGGACAGGGCCTCTGGGTGGTCAGGGACTTTGATGGTCCTAGCAGGCACAGGGGCAGGGACAGGCCATGAGAAAAAGGAGTGTGGCTCCCGCTCCCTTAAAGTCCCTTTCTACCACTACCCTACCCTGTCCCCAAGGCCTCTTGGAAATCAGTCCTGAAAGGAATGGCACCCAGAAACACAGTCAACCAGATACCCAAAGCTCATGGCAAAGAGTCAAAAGGCCATCAACCAAAGCAGAGAGGGACAACGCCAGCTGAGAAGGCAACACATACCAAGGGGAGGCACCAGCTGTGGGTGAATATCTAGGGGACGCACTAACTGGGGAAGGGGATATCGAGGGTAGGCACTAGCCGGGGAAGCAGCTATCAAGAAGAGGCACCAGCTTGGGGGGGGTGAATATCAAGGGGAGACACTAGCTGGGGAAGGGGATATCAAGGGGAGACACTAGCTGGGGAAGGGGATATCAAGGGGAGGCACTAGCTGGGGAAGGG